AAGCTTCCAGTCTGTCTCTTAAAGACGCAACAAAATATTAACCTTCAACAGAGACAGCCATGATCCGGGGCGCCTGGGTGACTCAGTCAGTTAAGCATCCAACTTCGGCTCAGGTCTTGATCTCACGGTTTGTGGGTTTAAGCCCCGCATCCGGCTCTGTGCTGACAGCTCAGAGCCTGGAGCCTGTTTTGGATTCTGTATCTCCCTCTCTCTCTGACCCTCCCCTGTTCATGCTGCGTCTCTCTCTCTCTCTCTCTCTCTCTCTCAGAAATAAATAAAACATTAAAAAAAAAAAAAGAAAAGAAACAGCCATGATCTCCAGGAGGCATCGATCGGCCCCAAGGGCTTTACGTGTATTAACTCATGTACTGTCCTAACAGCCTAGGAGGTCAGTCACTGCCATCACCACCACAATTGTACAGATGGGGCCACCGAAGCACAGAGAGGTCAAGGGCCTTGCCCAGGACCACACTGCAAGGAAGCGGCAGGACCAGGGGCCTAACTCCAAGTCTGACCTGGGAATCATAAGACTCGCCAAGATGCCCAATGGGCCCTCAAGAGGTAGGAGAGCCAGTCCTACTATCCGTGGCCCATGACTCGGGAGCAGGTGTTTATAAAGTGACTTCTGAAAGCTGACTCTGAACTCTTGACACAGCTCAGGGACTTCTCTGTGGTTCTGCCCCCTAGTTTTGTCCATCAAGCAAGTCGCTCTGGGGCTTTGGGCAGAGCACAGAGCACGCAGGACACAGAGCGACCAGGACAGCCAAGGCCACACAGGGAGGTGGTGGCCAGAGCGTGATGCCCGCAACCAACGACCAGGCGGTGGCCAGGGCTCTGAGACCCTTCCACGGAGACAGCCTCTGGGGCAGGCATCCTCACGGAGGTGACACATGAGCCCTGAAAGAAGACGAGGTGACAGCCATCCCGAGAACGGAAGGAACAGGAGGAAGGGGGAAATGCCATGTGCTCCCTGAACTGAGGAACATGTGACTGAGGAACACGTGCCTGGCTAGGGTGAGGCCCAGAGATGGAAACAGGTTTTCTGGGGCCTGAAGTTTCCGTCCTTTGGAAGATCGTCTTTCAGAAAATGCAGCCGGGGTGCCTGGGGGGCTCAGTCGGTTGAGTGTCTGACTCCGGTTCGGGTTATGATCTCACCGTTTGTGAGTTCGAGCCCCACATCGGGCTCGCTGCTGTCAGCACGGAGCCTGCTTTAGCTCCTCTGTCCACTTCTCTCTCTGCCCCACTCCGCTGTGCTCTCTCTCTCAAAAATAAATAAGGCATTTAAAAAATAAATAAATGTTGGGGCGCCTGGGTGGCTCAGTCGGTTAAACCTCGAACTTTGGCTCAGGCCATGATCTCACAGCTCATGAATTCGAGCCCCACGTTGAGCTCAATGCTGACAGCTTGAAGCCTGGAGACTGCTTTGGATTCTGTGTCTCCCCCTCTCTCTCTCTCTCTCTGCCCCTCCCCTGCTCGTGCTTTCCTCTCTCTCTCTCAAAAATAAATAAACAATAAAAAAATTAAAAATAAGAAAAAGAAAATAAATAAATAAAAAGAAAATGCATACCAAATCATGAATGCAAAACTGACTCAGCCTCTCCCTGGGCCTTGAAAGCAACTCTGGAGGGTACAGCCTCATCGGCCTCAGGGAAAGCATAGCCCTGGCCAGAACTGAGGGCTACTGGGTTGCCAGATGCCTACTGATGAATGGCCTAGACACACGGTCACAGACGTGCACACAGACACAAACAGAGCAGAGCATCTGTTTCTGAACAAATGACTAAATAAACTCGTGTTACTAGTATTACCAATAATACTCACTGCGTGCTGCCCATACTTACCATGAGCCAGGCACTGTTTTTTTTTTCTTTTTTTTTTAACGTGTGTTTATTTTTGAGAGAGAGACAAACACACACAGAGCGCAAGGGGCAAGGGAGGCACAGAGAGAGTGGGGGGGACACAGAATCGGAAGCAGGCTCCAGGCTCTGAGCTGTCAGCACAGAGCCGGACGCAGGCTCGAACCCACAAATCGTGAGATCATGACCTGAGCCAAAGTTAGACTTTCAACCCAGGCGCCCCATAGCCAGGCACTGTTCTAAGGGCTTATTCAATCTCCACTGCCACCCAACTCAGGAGGTACTGTTGTTATCCTCGTCGTAGGGAGGAGGAAAATAAGGCTCAGAGTAGTTAAGCAGCTCCCCAAAGGTCACACAGCAGGCCTGGAGTTGGCTCTGAACAATTCTGGTAATGTAATCAATGTCTAAGACAGCAGTGTCTACATCAGACAGACCCTGCTCCCCACCCTGGAACTGGAATTCTGGAAGGAGAGACAGACACTAAAGGGAGCAATCAGTAAATGAGACGAGCTTACAAAGAGATAAGAGTATGGGTGAAATTACAGCAAGGGAGGGGACAGGGACAATGGGGGCTGCAGCTTTAAGTCGGCGTCCAGGGCCGGCCTCCCGGAGTAGGTGACATGAGAGCCAAGACTGGAAGCAGGTGAATAGGCCAGGCTGGGAACAGAGTGTGTAAGACCTGGCATCCACCCGATCTGGGGGAGCCGTGGGTGGGGGGGAGGGACACCTGGGTGAACAGAGGATCCCAATTCAGTGTGGGAGCAGAGCTGAGAGGGGCAAGCCCAGGAGGCTGCAGGAGTGTCCAAGGACACATCAAGGAGCATGAGGGGGATGGGGCAGGGGGGCTTCCTGGAGGAAGGGATACCGGAGAATCACTAAACGCTAATGTGATTGACAGGTCAGCAACAGGCAGGACAAGGGAGGTATAAGAAGTAGGCCTGGAGAGGGGCGCCTGGGTGGCTCAGTCGGTTAAGCGTCCGACTTTGGCTCAGGTCATGATCTCACGGTTCGTGGGTTCAAGCCCCACGTCGGGCTCTGTGCTGACAGCTCGCTCAGAGCCTGGAGCCTGCTTCACATTCTGTGTCTCCCTCTCTCTCTGACCCTCCCCTGCTCACACTGTCTCTGTCTCTCTCTCTCAGAAATAAAAACATTAAAAAAAAAAAAAGTAGAGCTGGAGAGGGAAGGGTGCCCAGGCAGAAGGCACAGCGGGGACAAAGGTCCAAGCCAAGAAGGGGCCCAGCCTGTCAGGATCATTAATCCAATGATAATACTGAGCGGCTATTGAAAGCACTAATGGGTTAGTCTCTGTCAAGGACTTGGAGAACTGCGCCTCTGGAGTAATCACTCACTAAACATGAGCAGTTATGATCACTGAAGTTTCCATGCCAAGTCCGGTTGCCGAGACCTCCTCCTCACCCCACTCCCTAGGCTGTCAGGGAGCCCTGGCTTCATGCACCCTGTGGCCTCTGGCAAGCTAAGCCCTATGTTGGGCAATGCTGGGGACACAGAGGTGGAATCCCAGTGTGATGGTGGGGACACACACGGATGAGCAGTCACCACCTTCAATCTGCTTTAAGCCAAGTAATAGGAGACATGGCCTGAGAGGCTGTGTCTGATTCACCTCTGTCCAGACCAGCTTCTCTCAGGGGATAAGCCAGGCCCTCAGAGACGCTGCCCTCCTTTCCCCCCCCCCAGCCCTCTGATGAAGAATGTGAGTCATTCCACCAGCTTAATCAAACAGGATTCCATCTGCAGCAAACACTTCTCTCTCCCTTCCTAGAGGAGCCTCCTCGTTCACCCTGCAGCTCTGTAGGGTAAAACACAAGTTTTTGGGTTCCCACAGCGCCCTGTACTGGAATAATCAAGAGTGTGTGCAATGCAGCCTAGAGGTTAAAGTGTGGCTTGTGTGCAAAGCACTAGTTGGATTGAGGAGTCAGACAGACCTGGAGCGGAAATCTCAGCTCTATCCCATCCCCGCTGAGTGACCTGTCTGTGCCTCAGTTTCTCCATGTGTTAAATAGGGGCCATGACACCTCCAGCAGGTAAGAAATAGAGAAGGTAACTTGCATTGCACACGATTATTAAGACAGTAGGTCCATAACTCGAGAAAAGGGAATGGGGTCAAGACCCCAGAGGGGCCGGGTCTGAATGAAGAGAGATCTGAAGTCTGAACTTCACAGTCCTTGATCTTTGCCCTCAAGTGTGACTTTAACGTTTGCGGGAAGAGCAGCAGAGATCAGAGGTACCAGAAGACCTCCCATACAGTGACCCCGGAAGCACACGGCCGCGGGGTTCGGGGAGGTTGGGGGGGGGCCCGGTCACCTTCACAGCGAAGTCGATGACCCTCTTGACAGCCACGAGCGCACGCAGCTCCGCCATCTTTCAGCCTCTGCCACCTGCCCGGTCAGTTGGCTCACTCTGCGTCCAGATCCAGACCGCTCGCCGCCCCGCCCCCCCGCTCCTCTCTGCGCCTGCGCCCCATGCCGCCAGCCAGTCAACCGCTTTGGTGCCCGCCTCCGCCCCGACAGAGGACCAATCGGAGGCCCAGAAGGGAAGAAGGTGTGGCAAGAGGATTCGGACCAATAGGGAACGAATTTCGGACAAAGAGGCGGGACCCGAGGGCAAAGGAAAAGGACCCAGAGAAGGGGGCGTGGTCGGGAGCTAGGGGAAAGGTCGTGCGCGTAGGTGGATGTTCCCCGAGTGGAATTCCTCCCACGTTTTCTGAACTTTTCCCAGCGTCCTCGATTTATCCCTTCCCCCAGCCCCCCGCCTTTTCCTCAACTCTACAAGTCGCCATGCCCGTGCCCCCTGCCTCCTCTTGTGTCTGTCTCCCCATTTCTTGCCCTGTTCCTCGTCCCATGACCATGCCTCTTACGTTCCCCTATACCCGTTTTCCCTGCAAGTCCCTACATCCCCTCCAAGCGCCTTGTGCGCTCCTGACCCCACTACCCCGATCGCCGTTGCCCCTCCCAGTCCGTGTGCCTCGTCCACTCCAAGCTCGTGTCCCCGTGTTCCTCTTCACTATAGGTTCATGTGCTTATGTCCTCCCTGAGTCCCCAGGGACCCCATGCCTCGGTCCCCGGTCCTCTTCATATCCATGTCCCCACGTGCGTTCGCGTCCCGCAGAAAGGCACACGGAGCAGCAGCGGTGAAAACCGTTCCTTTATTCTGCCCCAGGCAGGCTGCGGTCACAAGCACACGGGGAATCCGCTGATGGCATCCGTGCTCTGCACGATCATATCCGCCAGCAGAAAGCAGAAGCCTGGTGGGAGACGAGCGGAGGGCAGGTGGGGGACGGCGGATCCTGGGGCGGATGACCCGGAGCGCCTCGGGGACGAAGGTTTGGGGCTCCAGGGGTGCCCCCTCCGGGTGTGCGGGAGTCAGGGGCGGAGTGTGCCGGGGAGTCCCTGGGAGGGTGGCGGGGAGTCTATGGGGAGGGGGTGCTCAGGGCAGTCTCCTCCACCCTCTTCCCGCTTTTCAGGTTACCCGCGAGAATAGAGAAGGGTAAAGCCAGCCACCCCGAAAAATAGGACCACGAGAAGAAGACGTCGTTTTTCCACGCGTTCTTCACGGTGTAGCCTGTCAAGGCGATCAGCAGCAGCAGGCCTGGGCCCCACTCCCGGGGTGAGTGTGGCCAGGGGGTCGCGCGGAGGCCCCCCCCCCAGACCGCGCCCATCGCCCAGGCCACGCCCCCTCCCAGCCACGCCCCCGTCTCTGGCCCCTCCCCTCATTCCCTTCCGAGCGCCTAGAAGCGCGAGAATCCTGGGTCCCTGCCGCCCCTGCAACTCCCAAGCCCGCTCTAGGCCTGGGGGCCCGCTACCGTCTCACCGCAGAGGAAGAAGGTGGCGCTCGTAGTCTGGCCCCGTGAGTCGCCCTCGTGGCACAGAATCCGCAGCCCCATCACCAAACCCACGACGGCGGAGCTCGCCGCCAGCACCATGCACGCCCCCGTCACCGCCAGCATGGCTGGGGAGAGCGGTAGCCTCAGCCGCGCCCTCGCACCGCCCCTGGCCACCACCCCCACCCGCCGGTCCGGTTTGGATAGGGACTTGGAAGTTACTTTATGAGGGGAGGTTAATGTCACAACAGGGAAGCAGGTCCCCAAATGGGGGTTCATGGTATTCTTTGTCTCGGAGGAGCAGGTGGATCTGAGACAGGAGAGGAAGGGGTGAGGGTGGGGGCGCCACAGGTTGCGCCCAGCTGTTGTGTCAGGCGAGGGGGCCAGCTGTGCTCAGTGCTGGGGGCTGTCTGTCCAGTGGGGGACATCTGGGTGGGCCAGGCCTCACTCTGGCAGGGGATGTTGGAGCAGATGCCGCCATTACACTCCTGCCACAGGCCACTGTGGCCTCCAGGGTAGCGGATCCAGTAGTTGGTGGCAGCGGAGAGAATCGTGAGGATTTGGGCCAAGAAGCCCAGCAAGGTGCCCCCGCTCTGAAGGCTCCGCTTCACCCCCATGCCAGGGAGGCTGCTGCTGAGGGTCACACACACAAGATTGGCCAACACCCCTCCCCCCCACACCCCTCTCCCAGCTCCTTCAAGCCCTTGAGACCCCCTCACACACATGTCCCTCCATATCGCAGACTACACCCCAGCACTCCTGTCTGGGGACCCCTCCCTCAGGCCCTTCCCAAACCCAAAACCTTCTCCATGCCTTATTGGGGGCTTGGAGACCTTACCCGCAAGGAGCCACAGCTTAGGGACCTCTCTGTCTTTCACAGATCTTCATCCTCCAGTGGAATGCCCCTTTAGCCTGTTCAGTGCCCTCCCCCAACCCCCATGCACACACCCACCTAAGTGACTCACAGCCAGCTCCAGGGGCTTCTTAGACTCAGAATCCAGAGGGGTGGGGGAAGGGAGACTGGGTCTCTGTGAGGCAAGAGGAGTTCCAGAACCCCCTCTCCCACCAGCCACTTAAAGAGATAACCACCATCCACCCATACACACACACACACACACCCCACAGCTTTTCTAGCAAGGTGACAGCTCAGTCAGATGGCCATGACACAGTAGACCATATCCTTGTGAAAACTCTTCCCTTGATCCCGGAAGCTCTCCAGGGCCCCACTCTCTGCTCCTGCTCTTCCCTCCACTTCCCAGTGCCGGCCTTCATCCTGCACCTTCTTACCCGATGAGCCTACTCACAACCACGGCTCCATTAGCCACTGATTCTCTGATAACAACCCAAACCTTCTCCAGCCCATGTCTCTGCCCCAGACCCCTGACAACCACATCCCAAGCGAGCTCAGCATCTCCCACCAAACTAGGGATGACCTCACCACCCCACCCAAGTTGGTTGTCCCACACTCCTGGGCACTAACTTGGCCCCCTCCTGCCCATCACCCCCCACAAAGCCCTTGGATCCTTGAGTCCGGTTCTTTCTGGCCACTGAATCTTTCTGGCTCCTGCCCTCTTTTCCATCTCATGCCCTGGTCCCAGTCACACCCTTTGCATTGCCAAGCTCCTCTGTCCCTTCTGGCCTCCCTGCATGTGCCAGAGGAATCTTTCCGGAACCTGCAGCTGGTGCTGTCCCTCCCCAGCTCACAACCTTCTCCTAGCTCCCCATTGCCCTCGGGAGAGAGTCACAGGAAGGGCCCTGGCTCTCACCTGCCTCTTCATCCTCAAGCTCCAACGGCCTCTGCATTCCACATTCCACACAAAGCACTGTTCTCCATCCCCTGAAAACTTCCGGCTTCTCCACACCTCCACCTTTGGGCCCCTCTGCCTGGATGACTTTGCCTTGGCCCTTGAGAGGCCCCTAAACACCCTCTCACCAGAAAGCTCACCCCTGCCCCCTCCTGACTTGGTCTTCCTCCCTGCCACCCCAGGCTCTGCCCTCCTGTCTCGATTCCCCCACCTGACTTGCAGCCCCCAGTGGGCAGGGCTCAGGTCTCAGCTTCCGGTCAGCGTCCCCAGGGAGACCCGGCAGAAAGGAAGAACTCCAGAGAAACCAGCTGAGGGTGTGAATGAATGAATGAGTGAAATAAGCGAGGGGGACCAGAATGAAGACAAGGGGGCAAAATCAGGGAGTAAGAAGGAAAGAGCACTAATGTGGGAAAGACAAAGGACAGGGTCTTGAGATGGAAATAGGGTCTCGAGAAGGGAGCCGACATGGGATCATGGCGGTCCCTGCACCGGGCGGGAGCCCACGGATGACAGGTGAGGGCTTGGACTCCTTTCTGGGCGCCTAGTGTTGCCCGGCATGGATGGAACTGGCTTGCCCTCAGCTTATGTCATGACTGAATTAATCTCAGAATCACCAGATCCCAGCACATTTTTGTTGAACGGGTGAAGAAACAAATGAGGGGGTTTCTGAAGGGCTGGGGGTAAGGGCCAGAGGGACGACGGCAGGAGGCCCGAAGCTTCTGGTCATGTCTTCAGAGAATAGAGCTTCATCTTGCTGTTCTCTCCTCTCGCTCACAAGGTGTCATAGCCAGGCCGGGGGGTGCTAAAGTGAACACCCATACTCAGGCTACCTGGGGTGACAGAGAGAGGTTAGCACCTGCCCCACCCTGCTCTCTCAAAACCATCCCCCTGCCCCCACTCCCCCCTGCCCTCCCCCCAGCCTGCCTCTCCAGTCCCCGGAGCAGCAGTTACCTGAACAGAGGAAGAGGCCCATGGAAACCCAGCCCAAGTAGAAGGACCAGGAAAAGAAGGACTGGACCTGCGAGTGTTGGGTCTGGTTCCACCGCTCGCTGGTGTAGACGACCATGGCCACCGTCACAAAGATGGCTGAGGACGAAGACAAGAGAGACCGCTCAGCCCCTCTATGGAAACTCACCAGTCCCCAGTCCCCAGGTGCAGCCTTGAGTCTACCTGCAGCAAAGGCTGTGACTGAGGAGGCAAGGGGCCCGCGGCCTGGAATGGACACTGAGGGGACACAGGACAGGGCCATGAAGATCAGCGACACCAGGCCACACAGGGTGGCCAGAATGCCGAAGGTCTGTGTCACGTGGATGTAGCCTGTTCAAGAGAGAAGATTCAGGTGCCGCCCCTCTTGCTGCCCACCCGCCCCCGACAGGAGAGACCGCTGTCCCTTACTTGCCACCGCATCGTGAGGCCCCTTCGGCCAGAGGCCCGAGTGAAATGAAAAGTTGGGCCCCACGGCCACGAACCAGAAATCCGTGCTCAGAGCAATCAGGATGGACACCAGGCCCAAGCAGCCAGTGAATAGAGCCAAGGACCGGCAGAGCTCCATGGAGATGAGCACTGGGGTGTCTGAGGCCTGGGAGATGAAGAGACTGGTGATCTGGCCTCTTGGGTCCTCTGAGCTCAAGAAAGAGAAGCCGTTAAGACTTTGAAACCAGGCTGGTTTGGTGTCATGCAGTTCCGGGTAGCTGACTCTTGCCCTAAGTCCTCCCTTCCCAGTTGCCCCGACAACGCCCTCCCCCCCCCAGAGATCCGGGTCCCCTCATAGTGTGTGGTGGAGGAGGGTGTCATATCATCAGTGGTTTGGGTGGCGGTTCAGAGCTTGCCTGTCTGTTTTACATTCTGTGCCTCCCACCTTTGGAACCCTTAACATCAGAGGAGGCTTCCTGGAAGAGGTGTGGGAGGTTTGGGGGCCTCAAGGGGGGAGGTGGCAAGTGAGGCCAGAGTGTGAGCTAAATGGGGGATGTGGCCGGAGGGGACAGTTGAAGGTTGTGACTTTCTTGTGGGTTTTGCAACCTTCCATTCTGGAAGAGGAGGGCCCCAACTTCAGTGTCTCCGCAGAAGGAGGAGCTGGAGGCCAGGACACTTGGGGCTGAGGGGGGAAGGGCTGGAGGCCAGGACACTTGGGGCTGAGGGGGGAAGGGCTGGAGGCCAGGACACTTGGGGCTGAAGCGGGAAGGGCTGGAGGCCTGGACTCAGGTCTTGACGAAGAGGCAGGCAGACGGGGGCTCAGACTTCTGGATCGATTGCTTGGAGCTTATACCCAAGGCAAGCAGAGGGTGGAGAATCACAATTCTGAAAGCTTGTGGACAGCGAGACATGCCCACATCCTTATCTGGTAAGAAGAGTTCACACACAGCTCTGCTTTGAGCAGGGCCTCCAGGGCGGTGGGCTTTGTCAGGGTGCCTGCGTGGCAGGGGCCGGGGGCACAGGACCCTCTCACCCTCCAAGAGCAAGCCCCCTCGGCCCATACTAATATTGGGTCCTAGGTAACACCTCACTGATAAGCAGGTGTCAGGTGAAGGTGTGGCAGCCCAGGTAGAAGGCTTAGGCACACTTGACCTCTATGAATCGGGGAATGGCCTAGAAGAAGACCTCTGTCATGAAGATGACTTGAGCCAGCAGTCCCACAACAGAGTGACTTAAGAGCCCAGGTCCTCTCCCGTTATTGGAGTTTCCAATTTGCAAACCTCTAATCTTCACCGAGACCCTCACCACCGAAATAACTGGCCACTCCTGAGAACGTGCTCAGAAGGACAGCCTCCCAGAGGTAGGTTCAGATCATAAGCAGCAGGGCACTGGCACAAAACATGGCAGTGGATGCAGCGCTAGTGAAGAGCAACAGACAGGCTTCAGGAAGTCTGGGCCCTGGAGGTGTGAGGAAGTGTCAGAGCACAGAGCACGTCTGCAGTCTCCACCTCATCTCAAACCCAGCCCCGTCCTAACTCCATCCCTATCCCCCAACCCAGTCCCATCCTCATTCCCAAACCTAACCCCGACAGAGCTCCATGGAGATGAGCACTGGGGTGTCTGAGGCCTGGGAGATGCTGGCTGGTGATCTGGCCTCTTGGGTCCTCTGAGCTCAAGAAAGAGAAGCTGTTAAGACTTTGAAACCAGGCTGGTTTGGTGTCACGCAGTTCTGGGTAGCTGACTCTTGCCCTAAGCCCTCCCTCCCAGGTTGCCCTGACAATGCCCTCCCCCCACAGAGATCCGGGTCCCATCCATAACCTCATCCCCAACCCCACACCCAACCCCATCTGTAACTCAGCTCTACCCGCAAACTCAACTCTGTCTTGCTTCCTAAACCGAACCCTATTTTCTTTCTTTTTTTTTAACATTTTTATTTATTTCTGAGAGAGAGAGAGAGCATGAGCAGGGGAGGGTCAGAGAGAGAGGGAGACACAGAATCCAGGCTCTGAGCTGGCTGTCAGCACAGAGCCCGACGCGGGGCTCCAATCCACGAACCGTGAGATCATGACCTGAGCCAAAGTCGGACGCTTAACCAATTGAGCCACCCAGGCGCCCCCAAACCCCATTTTCATTGCCAACACCAACTCTAAACTCAGTGCCATCCCCAAGCACAAACAGAACCAACTTCTTAACCCGATCCTCCAACCTAACCTCTTACTCGCAAACCCAACGTCAAACTCAACCCCAGCCCTGTCTCCAAATCCAAGCTCAACCCCAAACCCAAACCCATCCTCATCCTGAGATTTAACCCTGTCTACACCCCTATCCCCATGCCAGATCATACGTCTAGCCCCACCCCCCACTTCCTCCTACTCCACCCCAACCCAAGTCCTATAAATCCTACCTCAATCTCACTCATTTTCATCTCCATTCCACCTCTAGGCCCAACCCTTTCACCCTGGTTGATCTCCTTTTTTTTTTTAGTTTATTTAATTTCTAACCCAACATGGGGCTCAAACTCAGAATCCCAAGATCAAGAGTCACATGCTCTCCCACATGCCCTCCCAATTGAGCCAACCAGACACCCCACCTGTTTCATTTTCTTGAGTCTCACCTCCACCATGACGTGAGTGCGTGTACACACACACACACACACACACACACACACACACACACACACATACACACAGCCGCACGGGGCTCCAACAGGCTTCTGCACTTGTCGGCATCATGGGCTGACTGCAGGGCCAGGTTCTTGGTGCCCTCTGGCACATGCTCCTCAAGCCAGCAGGGACCGACTGCAGCCAGCATGAGAGCCTGAAGCAGGTGACGTGACATTGAAGAACCTCCATCTTTTTTCTTGACAAGATATGTGTTCTGAAACTTTTCCCGAGACCTCCCATGTCCCCGGCTCCCCGACGCCGTCCCAGTTGTTAGTTTGGGTCTCTACCAATCTTGCCCAAGTGCCACCAGTGTTTCCAAATCACCCCAGTCCCTTCTAACTTTCTCCAGCCCCCCACCCCCACCCCCCGCCGAGGCCCAGGGAATTCCTTCAGAGGCTCCATCTTGCAGAAACCCTGCCCAGAGTCTGGCGCACCCGGACCACCTAGACACTTGGTCTTTTTATCCGGTTGGCTCTGTCTTCAGAGCTGAGGTCCTCCAATCCCAAGGGTCCGCCCTCAGCCCAGGACACTATTCCCACACCCCTAGCCCAATTATTATCTCCTGGGACCTTCTTTCCTTGGCTTGATCCAAAGTGTCTCTGCTTTCACCACCTCCCATACATCCTCAGACCTCAAAAACTCCAAGGCAGGAATGAGGTCTGATTAATTTGGGGGCCCCCAGGGCCCAGCTTGAGACCTGGCCCATAGGAGGCTTCTGGAAATAAGTCAACCATTAGAATGGTTCAGGCAGAATGCCAGGCCCTGGGGAAACACTGGTGCTCAAGGCACATGAGACCCTCACTCTCACTGACCCTACACTGTGGTAAAGAAGTGAATGCTGCTTATAAACGGTTATTATGGAAAATGCCTTCATTTCTACTGAGGCCTACTCTATTAATAATATTTAATGCAGTCTATTATGATGATAGAAAAGTACTAAATCTGTTAGTCTAGTTGCCTAGTAGAATCTAGTTAATGTATCCACTCTGATGTAAAAAATAAAAAACATTAGTTGGAACCTGTCAGCTAAGAATAGCGAGCTGAGGGGCACCTGGCTGGCTCAGTCAGAAGAGCATGCCACTCTCCATCTCGGGGTTACAAGTTCAAGGCCCACACTGTGTGTAGAGATTACTTTAAAAAATAAAAAAATTGGGGCGCCTGGGTGGCTCAGTTGGTTAAGCGTCGACTTCGGCTCAAGTCATGATCTCACGGTTCACAGGTTCGAGACCCGCATTGGGCTCTGTGCTGACAGCCAGCTCAGAGCCTGGAGCCTGCCTGCTTTGGATTCTGTGTCTTCCTCTCTCTCTGACCTTCCCCTGCTCATGCTTCTGCCTCTCTCAGAAATAAATGAAAAACATTAAAAATATTTTTTAATAAAAATTAATACAAAAATACAAAAATTAAATTAAAAAAATCTTGGCACACTTGGGTAGCTCAGTTGGTTAAGCATCCGGCTCTTCATTTCGCTCAGGTCATGATCTCATGGGTTCGTGAAATCGAGCCCCATGTCGGGCTCTATGCTGACAGTGTGGAGCCAACTTGGGATTCTCTGTCTCTTTCTCTAAAAATAAATAAAGTTAAAAAAAAGTAATAAAAATATCTACTACCAAGGGCACCTGGGTGGCTCAGTCGGTTAAACATTCAACTTCAGCTCAGGTCATGATCTTGCAGTCCGTGATTCATGCCTGGCATCAGGCTCTGTGCTGACAGCTCAGAGTCTAGAGCCTGCTTTGGATTCTGTGTCTCCCTCTCTCTCTGCCTCTCCCCCACTCATGCTCTGTCTCTCTTGCTCTCAAAGATAAAAAACATTAAAAAAAAATTTAATATCTGCTACCATATGTAAAACAGGCAATACATGTGTTTTGTATGATATCTATGGAAAACTAATGTTTTTCAGTTGTATAACCTGTAATTTACAAATGAGTTATATGCTCTTTCCCTTTATTTTATTTTTAAAAAAATATTTATTTTGAGAAAGAGAGTGCTCACAGGCACATGAGTGGGGAAGGGGCAGGAGAGAGAGAGAGAGAGAGAGAGAGAGAGAATCCCAAGTAGGCTCCACACTGTCAGTGCAGAGCCAGACACAGGGCTCAAACTCACAAACTGGGAGATCATGACCTGAGCTGAAATCAAGAGTCGGATGCTCAACTGACTGAGCCACCCAGGTGCCCCTTTTAATTTATTTTGAATGAAATATATATATATAAAACAGATTAATTATAAAATACATATATACTAAATCTCAATAAATATTTGAGTAGAACCCATTTAATAATTTTCTAAGTTGATAATACTGTTGTTATTTGGCCTGAATAAATATATTTTAACAAATATTCTTTTGAGTGATTACCATATGCCAGGCTGTCTTATAAACAATGATGATCTAAAAGTACTTTTTCTAATCTTTAAAAAAATTGTTTTAAATGTTTATTTTTGAGAGAGAGAGAGCTGAGACTGTTCATCTGAGCTGGAAGGTACTGGCGTGGGGGGGGCAGAGGGAGGGGTTAGAGAAAGGTGACATGATTTGAATCACGCTTTAACAAAAATCCCTCTAAATGCTGTGTAGGGGGCCACCTGGGTGGCTCAGTCAGTTAGGCATCCTGCTCTTAATTTCGGCTAAGATCATGATCTCATGGTTCGTGAGTTCGAGCCCCGCTTCAGACTCCATACTGTCAGTGCAGAGTCTGCTTGGGATACTCTCTCCCTCTCTCTCTGCTCCTACCCTGCTTGCATGCTATCTCTCTCTCTCTCTCTCTCAAAATAAATAAATAAACTTTAAAAAGTATTTTTAAATGCTGCATAGAGAAAGGACCACAGTGGGCAGGACATGGGTAAGGACACTGACAGCGGCGGTTGAGAGGCTGTGGCCCTAAGCCAGGTGAGACCAGATCTGCAAGGTAATTGGATGAGCAAGGAGTCAAATTCTGGACACATTTTTAAGGTAGTGCCATGGCTACTTGCTGACGAATCAGGTGTGGGATGTGGGTGAAACGAGCTGAGAATGACCCCAACATTCTTGGCTGCAACAGCTGGATGATAATGGAGTGAGATGGGGAGTCTGTTAGGGGTGTGGGAGAGACCAGGACACGTGGCATTTGAGATCTGAGATGCCTCTTCTTTTCGAGTGGATATTAGAGGAGTCTGGAGTTACAACATCATTAGTATTGCCAGAAAAAAAAAAACACCCTATAAATATGACTACTGGCATAAGCCTCAGTAAATATGCCCGTTTAAATAGGCCTCAATAAATTACTATTAGATATGGCTTAAATTGCCGTTATTATTAGAGGAAGCCTCCATAAATACGGTACTATTGTTATTTGTGGAGGCCCCAATAAATATTTCTAGGGAGTAAGCCTCTATTAACATGACAGTTTGAGCATAGGCTCTAATTAATATTCTTATGATTAGTACCGGCTTTGCTAAATAGTCTCATTATTTTATGATAGATATCCGTAAATCTCATGACAATGGGCATCAGCTTATTGAATGAAGTAATAAGTGAATGAGAAGATCAAGGTCATGAAAGGTGTGTGAACAGGCAGGCGCAGGAGGGGGTGCAGATCAGAGATGGGGTGTTTCCAGCTGGAGGGGTCCATGGGGGAGGAGAGGGGCAGTTAGGAGATCTCCCTGGGGTGAGTGGGCACCAAGGTGGTTTTTCTGGACAGATCTTTTCGTTTATCCTGTTATCCCACTGATAGGCTGACTCATAAGAAATGTGTATATATTTGGTCTTCCTCGGGTTCCGGGCACAAAGCTGCTAAAAGCCTAGGAATTTCACTGGTGATGAGAGCCTTGAAGGTGTATTTGTTACACTAATGAAGCGACTCTGGGAAAGCACCCCAGGGTAGGGGCAGGTTGCCAGGGGAACCGACCATGTGACCAGATGGTTGGACGTCTCGGTCCCAGCCCCCAACCTGGGGAGGGAGGGACTGGGGACTGAGAATCACCAGTGGTCAGTATTGACGTCTGTGCAGTGAAGTCGCCAGAAAAACCCAAGAGTACGGGATTCAGAGAGATTCCAGGTCAGTGAACGTGTGGATAATGGGCAGAGAGTGGCTCCCTGGAGAGGGCAGGGGCCACTTGCCTTGGGCATCCCTCTGTCTGGCTGTGCCTGAGTTATATCCTCTCACAGTGAAGTGGTGACTTAGTAGCTGAAATGTTTCTCTGAGTTCTGTGAGCTGTTCTAGCAAATTAACCGAACCCCAGGAGAGAGTCAGGGAACCTCCAGTCTACTGCTGGTCGACCAGAAGCCCCGTGACCACCTGCACTTGTGACAGCATCTGAGGTGGCGGAGGGTGGGGGTGGGGGTGGGGGTGGGGTTTGTCTTTTGGACTGAACCCTTCACCTGAGGAATCTGATGTTACCTCCGCGTAGCCAGTGTCAGAAGTGAGTTGATTGGTGATGTGGGATAGAAAACATCAGGGGTGGGCGCCTGGGTGGCTTAGTCGGTTAAGTGTCTGACTTCCGCTCAGGTCATGCTCTGGTGGTCTGTGAGTTGGAGCCCCGTGTCGGGCTCTATGCTGCGTCTGCTTTGGATTCTGTGTCTCCCTCTCCCTGCCCCTCCCCCGCTCGGTCTCTTGGTCTTGCTCTCTCTCTCTCTCTCAAAACTAAATAAAAACTGAAAAAAAACCCCAACAGGGGTGCCTGGGGTTCAGCCGTTTAAGTGTACGACTTCAGTTCCGGTCATGATCTTGACATTTGTGGGTTCAAGCCCCACATCAGGCTCTGTGCTAACACTGCGGGGCCTACTTCAGATCCTCTGTCTCCCTCCCTCCCTCCCTCTCTCTCTCTCTCTCTAAATAAACATTACACACACACACACACACACACCAGAATTGCTGTCGGAATTGGAGCGACACATCAGTTTCCTAGAACCTCTGGGTGGGGACTGTGTGATTGATGTCTGTCCCCATCCCTGTCTGTCCCCGTCCCTGCGGAAACTGCGCTGGTTAGGCCACAGCAGTACATTCCCCTCACCCCATCCACCTTTCACACCTCTCACCACTGCAACCCCTCAGGAACCACACTTTAGTAGTTTCACATCAGTTTTATTAGACTCTCAAAAAGCCGCTCTAATGAAGATCCATCTCTCTAACACCCCCCTTCATAGGCTAGACCTCAGGTCTTCTCAACTGCCTCCCACCAGACCCCACTCTTCCTCCTTCCCCCTGGGGATGCAGAAATCAGAGGCCCTCCCACCCAGAGTCCGGGACTGGGCCCCCTCCTGCTCACAGGAACCAGGATTGCAGCCTCTAGACCCTCCCCTCCTTTCCAGTGGCCCTATTTTCACTTCCAGGTGAAATCGGGGTATTTGGGCTCAGCGGGGAGCAGAAAGGCGCCGACATTCGTGCATCCGGTAGGCACACATGTAGAAAATCCCTGTGTGAGAAGAGACCCCAGTTGACCCCCCGAGTCCTCCTAGGCTGGGCTCCCAACCCAGCACCCCAGCACCGCACTCCCCTTCTCCCCGGGTGTCTGCGGGGCCCGGAGGCCTCCTTCTGGCTCCGTGCTTGGAGGCCCGTGTGGGACATCCCATCATCTCACCCTCTAGAGTGCCGCCCACTCCGCCTCGGACACTGACCTTCCCACCCCCAAGCCCCCATACCTGCGAAGAAGGTCATGAGCAAGGCCACCCAGCCCAGGATGTAAGACCAGGAAAAACGCCAGTCCCCGAAGCGGCGACCGAGGAAGCTGACTGTGACTCCAGTGTAGATGGCCAAGGCCAACAGGACAAAAAAGGCTGGGGAGACAGGGTGGGGGGAGGTGGGGGGGGTTGCGGGGGAGGGTGGAATGAGATGGAGGAAGGGGAGGGGCGGGTGGGGTAGGGAGTAGGGCTGGGGTGGGGACGGGCCGGCTGTGCTGTGCAATGAAGAATTTGTCTGGGCTGGTTTGGGGCTCTGGTTCCTGGAAGGGAGACGCTAGATCCTTGGGATTCCCTGGATAGTAGGAGTGGCTTTGTTCTTGCTGAGCCTCTCGGATGAACATGAATATATGTTGATGAGCTGAGATGACACTAGGTAGGAACTGGTCACCAGAAAGACCAGCCTCGGGAACAGAACAGACTGGTGGGGCTTTGAGCCACTTGGCATCAGACCAACCTCTGGGGATGGAAGCTAGAGATTAATTACGCTCTGTCATGTGACCAGTGACTCCATCAACCGTGCCTTGATGCGGAGCGCACTCTGGAGCTTCCTGGCTGGGGAGGGAACACATGGATGTGCAGATGTGCTTGGAGGAGGGGGGGCAGCGTGCCCTGAGGCCGTTGGGGAGCGGGGGGAAGGGTGCAGAGGTTCTGCCTCAAGACCTTCTCAGGCTTCACCCTACACATCTCTTGATTTAGCTGGTGCTGAGTTGTATCCTTTATAATAAATCTATGATTGCTTCCGTGTAGTGCTTTCCTGCGTTCTGTGAGTCCTTCTGGCAAATGTTTGAACCTGACTGGGTCCCTCCCAGGAACCCCTGAACGTGTAGCCAGTGGGTCCAAAGTTCAGATGGCTTGTGGCCTCCACCTGCAACCGCCTGTTTACAGGTTACAGGCGCCTGTAAACCTGTGGGGTGTGACGCCAGCTCTGGGTGGCTGGGACTCCAAGGAGGCCGGCCGGCAGGAGGCATTAGAACCCGTCTCGGAGATGGTGTTGAGGTCGGGGTGAGACCAGGATGGGCGTGGAACCCCGATGAGAGTGGAGTTCGTTAGCGATGGAAATGGGCAGGGAGTGGGAGTGGGGGGGAAGGGGAGGGTCCACTCACTGGAGGCGAAAAACAGGATGCCCGCGGAGAAGGGCCGGGAGAGGCGGGTGAAGGTGGGCTGCTGAGCAAAGGCCAGTATGCCCATGATGATGCCCGAGGTGGCGCACAGGGAGGACAGGATCATGAAGGCCCGGCTGGCGTTCCAGTAGGCTGCGGGAGCACCGGAAGGTCACTCCCCTGCCACCAGCCCTGCCCTCAGCGGTGACCACTGCTGCCTCTGAGGGCTGAACCCCTTGCCTCTCTCCACATCCCAGACCCAGTGCCTCCTTCACCTCTTTGCAAACAAACGCTCTCCTCTCTTCACCTGGCCAACTCCTATTCCCCTTCCACACCCCGGCCCAAATCCCCTCTAGGAAGCACCCTTTCGGCCCTCAGGTAACAGGTAACTCCTTCCTCCACTCTGGGTGGTGACTGTTTCCGCTTCCAGCCTGATCGTTCCCTGAGGATAGGGTTCTGGACCGCAAATACCCCCAGCACAGTGTTCCTTGGATGGATGAATGAACGTATGTGTGAACGAATGAAGGCGATTCCCCAAACCCGACTCTTGCTTTCAGCTCAGGTCATGATCTCAAGGTTCATGGGTTCGAGGCCCGCGTGAGGCTTGGGATTCTCTCTCTGCCCCTGCCCTGTTCTCTCTCTCTCTCTCAAAATAAATAAACTTAAAAAAAAAAAAAAAAAAGAAAATGGTCTATTTATTTTTAACTTGTTTATATCTTGTCTCCCTGCTGTATGTGAGGACAAAGGTCTTGCTTTCTCATTCACCACAGCATCCCTAGCACCAAACGCCTGTACAACATGGGTGCTCAGCGCAAGGGCTGAATAAAGGAATGTGGGGCCCTGAACATCATTCTTCTCCAGTGCTTGGCTCAGGGCTGGCCCTTTAGGACACGCCCTGGGAATAACAGTTATGATCTCATTCTCCTTTGACCAGCTGCCAAATGCGTGCCGGGCGTGCATTCCACGCATGAGCCTATGTGTTCCCTCTACGAGCCCTTTGCTGGACCTTCTATTTTTATCCCCATTTCTCAGGTGAAGAAACCAAGGCTTGGAGGCAAAGCGACTTGCCCAGAATCCTATAACTGGCAGTAGGCCTGGTGTTCACACCCAGGCACCAAAGCCCTGGCTCTTTTTTTTTTTTAAATATTTTTATTTATTTCTAGGGGAGAGAGAGAGAGAGCGTGAGCAGGGGAGGGTCAGAGAGACAGGGAGATACAGACTCTGAAATAGGCTCCAGGCTCTGAGCTGGCAGTCAGCACTGAGCCCGACGCGGGGCTCGAACCCACGAACCGCGAGATCATGACCTGAGCGAAAGTCAGACTCTTAACCGACTAAGCCACCCAGGCGCCCCCCAAAGCCCTGGCTCTTAACTGCTTGGCTCTTCTGTCTCTCGGAGCACAGGGAACAACTGTGCACCAGGGCAGAGCTCTGATCCTGCCACTGAAAGGTAAAAAATCCAGTTCTTTGCAGAATGCAGTCTTTTTGCCTTGTGGGAGTGTCAGCAAGAAAAATGGCTGGCTGTTTCTCCACGGATGCTGTGTTGGGTGGAATTGTGTCTCTCCCCCAGCCTTCAAATTCATATGTTGAAGCTCTAACCCTCCCCCACCCCGACCCCACCCCCGGAATATGACCTTATTTGGAAATAGAGTCTTTGCTGGTGTAATTAGTTAGGATGAGGTCATACCGGAGTAGAGTGGATTCCTGATCCAAAATGACTTGAAGCCTCTTAAAATGGGGAAATTTGGAGAAAGACATACCGGAGCCCCATGTGAAGATGAGGGTAGAGATCGGGATGAAGCATGGATACGCCAAGGAATGCCAAAGACTGCCAGGCAACCAGCAGAAGCCGGGAGAGAGGCAGGCAATAGATTCTCCCTCATAGCCTTGGAAAGACCCAATTCTACTGACACCTTGATGTTAGACTTCCGGCCTCCAGAGCTGTGAGACAGTATATTTCTGTTGTTTAAGCCACTCAGTCTGTGGTCCTTTGTAATGGCAGCCCCAGGAAATTACAGATGCCTCTGGGTATTTTAAAGTCTTGGGGCCCCTGGGTGGCTCGGTCCATTAAGCGTCTAGCTCTTGATTTCGGCTCAGGTTACAATCTCACGGTTCATGGGTTCGTGCCCCACATGGTCTGCTTGGGATTCTCTGTCTCCCTCTCACTCTCTGCTCCTCCCCTGCGCACATGCTATCTCTCATGCTTTCAAAAATAAGTAAAGAAACATTTTTTTAAATTAAAATAAAAGTTTGGAGGACTGGGGGCGCCTGGCTGGCTCAGTGAGTAGAACATGCGACTCTTGATGTCAGGGTGGTGAGTTCAAGCCCCACGTTGGGCATGGAGCCTGCTTTAAAAAAAAATGTCTGGAGGACTTACGGAGTATGTGATAGCCTATGTCCTTCCCATGGTTGTGCTGAGGCGGGAGTGGAAAACGCAAATGTGTCTGAGGACTGCCTGCAGATGCAAATAAGGGCAAGAGATGTGCCGAATGAGGTGGGGGCTGCAGCGACCTGGGCAGTTTACCACCGCCAGTTAGCTACCCATTTCCGCCTCTCAGTTCCATCTTCACAGACAATCTGCCCCGTTCAAACCACGCTGTGGTTTCTGCCTCCTGAGGGGCCCCTGCCTGGTACACTGCATCTGAGGGAGACAGCTGTGCACATATCGAGCTGACCATCACACTGCCCCCCCCCCCAGGGGGGCGGGGACAAACGCAAAACTGGGCTTCTCAAAGAGAGCTGCACGTCCAGATGTTTATGCAAAATCTCTAAATGTTTAAGTCCTGACAGACACGGGGGAGCCTGGGTGGCTCAGTCGGTTAAGCGTCCAATTTCGGCTCAGGTCACGATCTCGTGAGTTTGAGCCCTGCGTGGGGCTCTGTGCTGACAGCTCAGAGCCTGGAGTCCGCTTCAGATTCTGTGTCTCCCTCTCTCTGCCCCTCCCCTGCTCACACTGTGTGTGTGTGTGTGTGTGTGTGTGTGTGTGTGTGTGTGTCTTCCTCAAAAATAGACATTAAAAAAGCTTTTTTGAAGTTTAAAAAAAAATCCTGGCAGACACTTCAGAAACTTTAAAATGGCTATACACACACATCTGTGGCTGGGTTTGGCCTCTGCAAGTTCACGTCTCCAGCTCTGATTTTGGTGAACCGGTCACAGTTGATGTGCAAGGTGAGCTAGCAGCTTGGGTGCTAGCAATCAGTCAGCGTGAGGCCTGTCCCTGAGGATTTCAGTTTTGAGGTCAGACCAAAGTGCAGCCCTCCATCGAGCCTCCCTCTCCCCCATCCCCAACACAGATAAGATGGAGGGGGTGTGGGTATCCCCAGGGCTCTGCCAGGCTGGGGCAGGAGACACGGTAGCGGTGTGATGGATGAGACCGCCAGAAGTGAACGGGGTGCGTGAAGTCGGGAGGCAGACTGGGCTCTGAAGCCGGCGGCCAGGGCAACTCTTTCCACTGCTTCCTGCTTCAGTTTACCCCTCCTGCAAAATGGGCATCCGGCTGCCTCCCCTAGGCGGGTTCAGTGAGATGGGGTGGCTGAAATCCGGCAAGTCAAAGGGCTCAGGAGAGTGGGCTCCTCCCCTCACTGCCCCATAAAGAGAATGTTTGGCTTTCTGAGGGCAAATCTCATGTCTTATTCCCAGACACAACGGTATCACCCTCAGTGGTGTTGGGAGACCAAAGGGCATTAATCCATGTCAAGCACTTAGGATAGCATGTAGGACACAATAACTTTCAATAAATACCAGTCATTATTACTACCACTACTACTATTACTACTACTAGTATTTGGTACCTATAAAATATGTAACATTATATATTATTAATTTGTTAATATATAATGCATTATATTATATATAATTATATAATAAATAATGCAATATATAATATGTAATGTAGCATACAATATATGCAAATATCTATATCCAAATACATATGTATACATACATGTAGTACATATATTTTGTATACATATATATGGAGAGAGATAATAGAGATACATAGCACATTATATAACATATTATTATACATATATAATATGTATTATTATAATATATGGCACATAGTAGGTAGGTATTATACCTTCCATGCTAGAAGAGTTTTTATCCCATTTTTACAATATATATTATAATAGGCACATATGCACACATACATACATATCCATGTACATAGAGACATATACATTACATAGCCTGGCACATAGAAGGTCTTAAAAATTACCATCCAGTATTTAGCAGATTAATGGTCCATTTGCTTCTATATCCCACTATAGGTACTATAGGTACTTTATCTAGTACCTAACCTAGTTCTTTTTTTTTTTTTTATTTAACACTGAACTCTTTCTTTTTTTTAATGTTTATTTTTGAGAGAGAGAGAGAGAGAGCAGGGGAGAGGCAGAGAGAGGGAGAAAGAGAATCCCAAGCAGGCTCTGCACTGTCAGTGCAGGGGCTCGAACTGACAAACCGTGAGATCATGGACCTGAGCCAAAATCAAGAGTCGGACGCTCATCCGGCTAAGCCACCCAGACGCCCCCCTAACCTAGTTCTTGATACATAGTAGATACTTAAAAAATGCTATTCTGACAACCTCAGCCCCAAGTGCTATACATAACATCTATTTCGTGCCAGGGAATGTCACCTTGCTACTTAACCTCTAGTACATCTCCTAATTGTACTAGAAGAAAACACTGAAATCCCAATTCTGCCCCTTCCATGCTGAGTGATCTTTGGCTGGTCCCTTTCCGTCTCTGAGCCACACAGTCTTCCACTTGCAAAACAGGTGGAGAGATTCTGCCCTGAGGGGGGCTCTGACCCCTGTCCTGAGAGGGCCTGTGACCCGCCCCCCCCCCCCCCCCCAAGGCCCTGACTCTGACCCCAGGCCTTACCGATGCTCTCTGTCTGCAGGTAACACTTGTTGCCCAGGCAATACCGCCACAGGCCCTGGTGGGCGAAGGACCCTGACAGCCGGTACTGCATCCAGTGATCTGTTGCCGTGGCCACCACCAGGAGGATGGTCCCCACCCAGGCACAGAAGAGGCCGCCACCCATGAAGCTGTACATGGTGATCTATGGAGAAGGTGAGAGATGGGGTCAGGCTCTGGACTCCCGGGTCCTGGCAGAGGAAGGGACTGGGGGCCTGGACTCCCCGATCCCAGGTGATGAGGGAGCTAGGGGCTGGGACAGCAGGTCCCTGGGAGAGGAAGGAGCTGTGGGCCTGGGCCCTGGGTCCGGGGAGGGGGACTGGAGGTCTGGACAACCAGATCCCAGGTGAGGAGGGGGTCTGGGGGCTGGGACCCCACTAGGTCCCTGGGAGAGGAAGGAGCTGGAGGGTGGACCCCTAGATCTTGGGGGAGGAGGGGTCTACAGGTCCGATGCCTGGTCCCTACCTGAGTGGCAGACCCTGTGACAAGCCTTCTGTCTGCCTCGGCTCTTCTGTGCAGACTGAGCCGAGCCAGGTTGCTGGCTTCTCTGCTCCCAGGTCCCCCAAATCCCTTAAGCCTCCCCACACAATGGCCCCGTGGCCCAGAAGCTTCCAGCAGCTAGAAGTGCAGTGGTGGCAGAGGCCAGTGGCAGGGGCCCCAAATAGAATTCGCTGAAACAGGGATCTAGGCCTCCCTCCCCGAAGCCCCTGACCCCCCTGGCCTCTCTCTGTGACCCTCCCCACGACCTACCCCCTTTCACAGGCCTTGCTCACAGCACCCACTGGGTTAGCCCGAGCTGCGTAAGCACACACACAGAGACACAAGACATGGGGGTAGTCATCCGTTTATTGTTCAACCAGGGGTCCTCACCCCCAGGGCAGGATAAGGGTGGGGGGCTGCAGGTCTGTTGGGCCAATGGGGTTCTCTGCAGGTGGGTCACGGGTCACAGGGCGTGTCCCGCCTGGGGCTGCGCAGCAGGATGGGATGGGGCTGGCTCGGGTCGAAGGTGGGCTGGGCTTGGGCTCAGGTGTAGGAGACAGTTAAGGCTGAGGGTTGGGCTGGGCCTGAGGTAGGTAGAGAAGCTGGGAGCGAGGGTGCAGACCGGGACAGAAACGGGGATGAGTGGGACTGGGGCGGTGGCACTGAGAGTGGCGACAGGGCTGAGGGGCTGGAATTGGGAATGGGGAGTTGGGGACAGTTTGGGGCACGGGGCTGAGGCTCAGGAGTTTTTCGGGTGTGGGATCCTAGCTGGGTCCATGTTTTATGGGGTGACTCGCAGGAGGCTGTGGTTGGGGGGAAGAAAGATGGGAGCAGGATGTTTCTTGGGGTCTCTCTGCCTTAGCTGAGGCCACCCTGGGCTCCAGGAAACCCCTCCTGGTGACCCTGGGGGCCCTCTCAGGAGCTTGGGGAGCTGGACCCTCCGGGTCCTAGTATTCCAAGTCCCAGTTTTCTGCGGCCGCAGCTGGCACGTCGCGGGGTGGCTCCCGACCTCCGGCTTCCTTCTTCTCATCCTGGGCAGGCAGTGCGGGCGGTGACGCCGCCAACGCCACCGGCGGAGCCTTGGGGCCAGCCCCGGCCCTTCCCGGCTGCTCCGCCCTTCTGGGGCCCCAAGGCGCCTGGCCCCGGCCCCCCCGGCCTGGCCTGCGTCGGAAGTCCCAGCCCCCCCGGCCCCTGGATGGCCTTGTGGTGGCGCCTGGAGGGGTGCGGCATGGCTGTGCGTTGCAGGGGCAGGAAGGCAAGGACTGCTGAAGCGTGTAGGCCCCCAGCAGGGCGCCGTGCAGGAGGTAGGAGAGGGCGTCCAGACGGATGGGGACCGTGACAGCGGCCACGCTCTCGGGGAGCCCCAGGTGGGCTGGATCTGGGGTCCCCAGGGGAAAGGGTGGCAAGGCTGGGAACGGTGCAGAGGGCCCAGGTGACGGCAGGGACGGGCTGTTCCTGGAAGGACAAGGGGACAGGTCAGCAGATCTCGGCATCGCCTTATGTCCTACGTCCTGGGGTCCAGCACTTCTGCCGGAATCCACCGAGCTGGGCAGCCACCTCTGACCTCCTTGTCCCCTTCTCTCCACTTCTCTCCCCTTCCCTTCTTTTCTTCCCCCACCCCCATGCTTCCTTTTATTTATTTATTTATTTTTAAGCTTATTTATTTTTGAGAGAGGGGGAGAATCTCAAGCAGGCTCTGCGCTGTCAGCACAGAGCCCATTGTGGGGCTTGAACTAACTCAACTCTGAGATCATGACCTGAGCCGAAATGGAATCTGACGCTTAACCAACTGAGCCACCCAGGCGCCCTCTGTCTCTGCCTTATTCATTCATTCTTTCTTTTTTAAACATTTATTTATTTTTGAGAGACAGAGAGAGTCAGTGTGATCAGGCAAGGGGCAGAGGGAGGCACAGAATCCAAAGCAGGCTCCAGGCTCGGAGCTGTTAGCACCGAGCCCGACGTGGGGTTTGAACTCACAAACCACGAGATCATGACCAGAGCCCAAGTCAGACGCTTAACCAACTGAGCCACCCAGGCGCCCCTCTGTCTCACTCTTTCTTCCCATCTCTCTTGACAGAGAGACAGTTGCCAGAACTTTAACATCAGACAGAGCCCAGCTCCAGGCTGCCCTCACTCACTGTGTATTTCTGGTCTAATCATTTTCTTGAGCTGAGCCTTAATTTCGTCACACCAAACGATGGCCTCGTGTAGTAGCAAAGGTGCATATTAAACACCTGCGTCTGATGATTATTATTACTATTTCTCCAGCCATGTTCCTGACATTGTCGATTCTTCTCATTCCTTCTTGAAATTTCTCCCTGTTCCACAAATACCTGTTTCTAGCTGTGTCCCTATTTCTAAGTATCTCGCCCAAATCTGACAACAAGATCTCTAAGATTCTGTTTCTAACTGAGGAGGCTGGATGTTTTTTTCCCCTGACAGTCTCTCTGGGTCTGTCCATTCTGTCTCTGATTTTCTCTGTCCCCTTCCCTCTCTGGTCTCTGTCCTCCCCGCGGGGAGGGTCTCGCGTCGCTCACCCTTCGGGCCCAGTCTCTTCCTCCTGCTGTTCCATCTTTGCAGAGATCTCCCGAATCTCTTCCAGCACCTTCACCTGGATTTCTTCAAGGCTCTGGACGGCGGGGAAAGGTCTGGAAGAAAGTGGGCGGGACTTTGTTCGAAGTGGGGCGTGGCCTGCGGGGCGTGGGGGAGCCGCGGGAAAGAGTGCTGGGGTCGCGGGACCTAATTTCTCAGTCTCACATATCACAGCTCTCTACCTCGTCTGGTCCCAAGAGTCCGGCCCCAGCCCCTCCTCCCTCAGACCCAGGAGTCCCGGCCCCCAGCCCCTCCTCCCTCAGACCCAGGAGTCCCGGCCCCCAGCCCCTCCTCCCTCAGACCCAGGAGTCCCGGCCCCCAGCCCCTCCTCCCTCAGACCCAGGAGTCC